GGGGGTCCATAGCTTTCCACCTGGGAGGGGGGATAGGATGTGGACTGGGGGAGACCAGTGGGTCCTAGCCCCAGATTCACTACCAGAGATCTGGGAAGGTCACTGCAACTCTACCAGCAGCCTCTGTGAAATTAAGCATAAAAAAGATCTCCTAGAGTTTTGGGAGAAGGAGGATTTCTGGGGGGAGGTTGGTGATCACACAGATAAAGGACATTCCAGTGTCCAGACTTCTCACTTTCTCTGCTACCCACATTCAGTCCATCAGTAAAGCTTGTCAGCTTCACCTTCAAAAAAGCATCCAGGGCCTGGCTGGTTTGCTCAGTAGGTAGAGTGTTGACCTGAGTACCGAAGCATAGGAGGTTCGAGTCCCTGTCAAGGGCACATACCTGGGTTGCAGGTTCAATCCTCAGGCCCCGATCGGGGTACGTGCAGAAAGCAACAAATACATACCTCTCTCTCACATCAATGTCTCTCTCTTTCTCTCTCCCTTCCTTCCACTCTCTCTAAAAAAATAAAAAATAAATCAATGGAAAAAATATCCTCGGTGAGGATTAACAAAAAAACCACACAAAACAAACAAACAAAATGCATCCCGAGTCGGGCATTTCCTTATTCTCCCACTCTGCCTCCTCCTTCTGGCCACCAGCATCTCCCCACACAGCTGTCAGAGAGATCCTGTTAGAACTTAGTCCGATCACATCCCTCCCCTGCTCAGAGCCCTCCCCTGCTCCTGCCTCACCCACAGCTCTCACCTCTCTGACCTCACCTCTCACCCCTCTACCCTTTGCTCACTGTTGGTCCTCGAGCATGTGAAGCACATTCCTGCCTCAGGGCCTTTGCACATGCTGCCTAGAACCCTCTTGTTGCCTAGAACCACCTCCCAGATGGGACACATATGCATTTCCAGAGACCTGGTTCACTTTCCTCACCCACTTCACTCAGGTCACTGTTCCAACGCCCCCTTCGCAGGGGGACAAACAGTAGCCCTTTCACCCCACATTATCTTTCTTCCATAGCACCATCGCCTCCTGATAAAGTGTATTTATTCCACTGTACTTGCTTTCCTATGCGCCATCTCTTCTGCCACAGAACATAGCCTTTGAGAAAAGGGACATGTCCGATCACTTCACGACTCCATGCCCAGCCCCACTTAGGGCCTGGCACAGGGGGCGATCTGTAAATATTCACAGATGGAATGTAAAGATTCACCCACCACATTACCTGCGTGCCTCCTCTGTGCCCACGCCATGCTGGGTGCTGCTGGGGACACAGCCATGACTGGAACAGCCCTGGCCCTGCCCTCATGGCCTCACAGTTCAGTGAGTGACACAGACGTGTCTCTAGACAATGATGACCCAGAGTAGGCAGGGCTGCAATGAAGGAGCCCCAGGGCCTCAGGAGCCCAGAGGGAGCACCTGGCTCAGCCTTGGGGCAAGAGGTGGTTTCCAGAAAGCAGGGTGCTCAAGGGATATCTCTCTGATAAGGTCACCTGTAAGCACAGACCTAAATGAAATAGGGAATGGAGCCATGTAGAGATCTGGAGGGAAAGTTTTCCAGTCAGCGGGAATAGCAAATGCAAAGACCAAGGAAGGGAGACTCTGAGGCTTAGCAAGGAGGCCAGCATGGAAGGGGTGGAGGCAGAGGTGGGGGCAGAGGCAGAACGTTCAGGGGTCCTGAGGATCCTGGTGAGAACTTGGGCCTATACTGACGTCTTGGTGAGACGGGAGCCATGGAAGGTTCTGAGCAGAGGAAGGACAGGACCTGACTTTGGTTTTCACAGGATCGCTCTGCCTGCTACAGGGAGAAGAGGGGGACAGAGTAGGGGGACCGTGGGGGACAGAGTAGAAGCAGGGAGCCCAGTGAGGAAGGCACAACAGTGGTCCAGGTGGATGACGGTGGGGGTTCCAGAAGTGGTCAGATTAGGGTATGTTTTGAAAGTTGAGAACCCTCACTATTTGCTGTTTGCTGATAGACTGAGAGAAAAAGCAGAGCCATGGAAGGCTCCCAGGTTTTTGCCTGACCTGGAAGACCACAGTAAATAGGATTAACTGGATGTATTTGCATTTTCTAACCTATCTGAGCACAGCCTCAGAAAGTGGGATTAAGGGGGTACTTACATTTTCTAACCTATCTGACCACACTGCACTCCAGACTTGGTCAAGGGTCACCAGTTCCCAGGGTTTTCCAACAACCTAAGTTAACACTTGAGTGTTTTAAGAGAACCACCCTAGTCTCTAAAATTAGTACTTATTAAGCAAGTGGCCAAACGACTTGGCCACTTAAATTAAATCCCTGGATAAAACAAAATTCAGGGTGGGCCAGTGCAGGGCCTTGTTCTCACCACTGGGGGGTGAGGGGTAACAAACAGATTTGGTCATACTAGTGTAATCCCCATTTTCCTGAAAAGGAAACTGGAGCTGGGAGATGTCCAATCATTTGCTGGGTGACAGCTGGTGAGTGGCAGGAAAAGGGAGCAAACCCGGGTGAGTCTGACAACAGAGTGGAGCTATCACCCCTGCCCTGTACAGAAGGGCAGATTTTTTTCAGCCAGCACAGGGGAGCCCTTGGAGGTTTAGAGCCAAGGTGTGACCTGGGAAGAAACTGGTCTGATTATCCCCAAGAATGTGGCTGTAGAAAAGAGGGCAGCCCCCAGCCCTGCCCTGGCAGAACCCACACACCCAAAGCCAGGAGAAGCTGAGACACCCCCCAAACATCCAGGTGTGCTGAAAGTGGAAGCCATCTGAAGAAAGTGCAAGGGCTGGAGCAGGCTGTGGAGAACTCTGAAGGTAAGAAGACGGACAGAAAGTACCTGATGATGGAAGAGTATTTGACCAAAGAGCTACTGGCTCTGGATTTGGTAGATCCTGAAGGAAGAGCTGATGTCCGTCAGGCCAGGAGAGATGAAGTCAGGAAGGTTCAGACCATCCTGGAAAATCTTGAACAGAAAGCAATAGATTCCCAGGTCAAGTCCAGTTTATGAACTCCAGCCCAGCTCCCTTGAAAGTGCTCAGCCACTGAAGGAAACCATGGGTGCCATGGCAGCAGACAAGAGTAAGAAAAGTGCCAGAAATAGGGAAGATCCCAAAACTGAAACCCAATAGCAAGATGCCACAGCAGCAGCCACTCCAAACCCTGGCAGCACAACAGACACAGCTGGTGACCCAGCAGCACCACAGTCTCAATAAAAAGACTCAGTGAAAGAGCTGATTATGTGCGTTAGGAAATTCTAAGTTGCATGCATTTCAGGGACTTTAAATCAGTTGGTTTTTACTATTCATAGCCACTTGGTACATAGTAACCTGGAGGGAGGCAAAACAGTAAAAGGGCTAAAAGGAAAACGATGCTTTTCTTCAGAATTCTTATCCTGCACAATAAAGAAGTTGCTTGTTTCAAAAGTTTAACAACATTGCTTGCAGTTTCGGGGCCCTCTCTGCATGGGCACCATGGGCTGGCCATGGTTGTCAGCGCTCTTCCTGTAGCTCTGGACTGCAGTTTTTTGGGGTGTAGATGGGAAGTCGATTTCCCATCACATAAAAGAATACCTAACTTTAGGTAGAATAAAATGTGTAAGGAGCCATAGTTATATCTGTATGTAGGATGGCTTTAACTATACATTTTTAAAAAGTAAAAAAAAAGTAATAATACAGAACAACAAAAAAAAGGAACTGGCTTGAGAAAGGTCACCGAGGCAGTGCCCAAGAAGGCAAAAAGCAGGCATTATCCACTCTCCCTGATGACCAGACCTACAGTCCTTTATCTTTTTGGTTTCCAAGCCAAGGATTTCCTGCTGGAAGGTTTCAGGAACAACGTCCAAACCCGTTCCCACTTCCTGAAAAACTAATTGGTTTGACTCCAGAGCCCATCACTGGGATCAATGGCACCGGCAGGAGATTCACAGATCTCACTCCTTGGGCCCTCAGTACTCACTTTCAAGAAAATGGGAATGGATCAGATCTGCAGACAAATGTTTAGCCAACCCTTCAATTAACCAGGGCAGGGAACTAGCTGAGTTCCCAGGTCAACAACGAGGCCCCCAGACATAGTTAACCAAGGTGACGACACGTCCACACACACCCCATGAGCGGCCCCATCTGTATGCATATTGGTTCAATGGGGCCTTCCCAGAAAGTCCTTCCCCTCCCCTCCACCCCCTGGGCAGGTCAGTTTCCTTCCCATTCCTCCCTGACCACCCACCGCTCTCCAATTCTTATACTAAGTAGGTCCTCCCGGCCCCCAGGCGTCCACTCCCGCCTCCGCCCAGGGCTGGACCTTCCCACCTCCCAGATCGGATTAGGCCGGCGTTTCCACCCCGGCAACGGCGGGGGTCTGCTGATTGCCGCCGTTATTACTGTTATCGTCATGGTTATTATTTTCCACGCCCCCCAGCTCCCCACCTCACCCCTGGCGCGGGAACATCCCCGCTCCTGCGTTCCAACCAGAGTCCGCGGTGCAGCCGTGCGCGGACCCGACCGTCACCGCAGCCAG